ACGGAACACTCAAATTTTTTCATCCCTGGTTATACATTATTAAAATGCAACCATCCAGACAATACTGCTCATGGAGGAGTAGCTATTTTTATTAAATCTTCTATTCCATTCCTACCTCTTCCTAATTACTCCCAAGACTATATACAATCCTGTTCCATATCCTTAAAACTTAAAAATACATCATATACTATTGCTGCATTATACTCTCCTCCCAAACATAAGGTCACGAACATGTTATTCAACGACTATTTTAACACTTTCAAAGATAATTTTATTGTCGGTGGCGACTTCAATGCCAAACACCAAATTTGGGGCTGTCGCTCAAATAACCCCCGTGGTCTTGTTCTACATGATTTTGTATCATTAAAAAAATTAAATATTCTTGCTCCTCCTGGTCCAACATATTGGCCTTCGTCCCTTCGTAAAAATCCAGACATACTTGACATTTTTGTAGCAAAACTACCGAACAAGTTAAATTACTCTATAGACAATATCCTCGAGCTCAACTCTGATCATTCATCAGTCTTACTTACCATTAATTCAACTCCTCAAACTCATCAAAGTCATCCCAAGTTATTTCAAGTAAACACAGATCGATATATGTTTCATAATCTAGTTAATCAGAAAATTAAACTAAGCACAAAACTTAAAACTACTGAGGACATAGATAAGGCTGTAAATAATCTCACTAATATCATTCAAATAGCTGCCTGGACGGCTACTGATGATATAACACTATCCCAAAACAAAACAATTGTTTTACCAGAGCAAATAAGAATATTAATATCTGACAAACGTAGAGCTAGATCTTTATTCCAACGCACTAGACTTCCGTCACATAAACATTTATATAATAAGTTAGCAAATAATCTTAAAAAAATGCTTGCTCAACACAAAACCAATTCCTATAAAAATTACTTATTTAACCTAACGGCTAAGGATGGTAGCCTATGGAGAGCTACCAAACAAGCTCTTAGATATAAAACAGCTAATCTCCCAATTAAAAAAACTGACGGCAGTCTAGCTATCACTGACTTGGAAAAAGCAGAGTTTTTCAAAGAACATCTAGCTGATACTTTTAAACCTCATCCGAATATACACTCACCTGAAACGACTAGTTCTGTAATGGCATACCTAGACGCACCATTACCACTATATCTTCCAGTCAAATGCTTCACACCAAATGATGTAAAATTCACAATTGCTAGATATCCTTCCAACAAATCCCCTGGTTTTGACCTAATAACGGCTGAGGTTGCAAAATGCCTTTCAAAAAAAGCTATTATCCACTTAACCCATATATTTAATGCAGTCATTAGACTTTCGTATTTCCCTCTATTATGGAAATTCTCGACTATTATATTAGTTCCTAAGCCCAACAAACCCCCTGATCTGCCAACATCCTTCAGACCAATCAGTCTTTTACCGTTCTTTGCAAAAATTTTTGAAAAATTATTAATTAAAAGAATACTTCCCTGTCTCTCTGTCAATGAAATACTGCCTAATTCCCAATTTGGTTTTAGAGCTTCTCACTCCACTATACATCAAGTCCATAGAGTAGTAGACGCAATATCGTACTCGCTTGAAAAAAAATTATACTGCACAAGTGTGTTTCTTGATATTTCGCAGGCCTTTGATAGGGTATAGTATGACGGCCTCCTTTATAAATTAAAAAAAATTTTGCATCCCACTTATTACTTGTTTTTCAAATCTTACTTAACAGATCGTTTTTTCCAAATCCGTCATGGTTCTTCAGTATCTGATATAGCCTCTATAAAAGCGGGAGTTCCACAAGGAGGTATTCTATCTCCAGTCCTATTCAATATCTATACCTCAGACCAATTCACAACTCCTAACACAATTGTTGCAGATTATGCTGATGACAAAGCCATTTTGTCCTGTAACTCTGACCCACAGATTGCATCCGTCAATTTGCAAAATCATCTTCATTTAATGGAAGACTGGTATACAAAATGGCGTTTTAAAATTAATCAATCAAAATCAGTTCACACTACCTTTACTCTAAGACTTCTCCCTTGTCCTGGTGTCTCCCTATACGGAGTACAAATCCCCTCTTCTTCCTCTGTCAAGTATCTCGGTATCACACTAGATAAACGACTCACATGGGCTCAGCACATTAAAATTAAACGTTTGTCTCTAAATAGCCGTCTGCGGTTACTCAAATCATTAATCGTAAACAATAAATTTACAGATATTAATACAAAACTTCTTATTTATAAAACTCTTTTAAAACCCATATGGACTTACGGCCTTCAGCTATGGGGCAATGCTAAAAAATCCAATACCAATAAAATTCAATGCTTTCAAAATATTGTCTTAAGAAAATTAATAAATGCACCTCCTTATATCTCTAATTACACACTCCATAACGACCTTAACTTAAAAACAGTCCATGAAGAAGCTATCTTCTACTATAAAAGATTCCACATTAAACTACTCTCCCACTCTAATCCCCTTATAAAAAACCTCTCAACCTTGTCCATACCTGGAGACCCACCCAGACGTTTAAAACGTAAGTGGTGCCGTGATCTTCTATCTAATAATATCAATTAATATTAATAATATAATATAATTAATATAATTAATTATATTATTAATTATATAATTAATATAATTTACATAATTAGATCAATGTAAATATAAGTTTAAAATAAAAAAATTAAAAAAAATCATTGGAAGTGTCACTAATGAGTGGTTTCTTCCATCAAAATGTATTCAATTTATCTCTACTTTTATCATATATACTTATTGTGCCCATTGTACAGATTGTATATTTCTTTTGTAAAAAAAAAAAAAAAAAACTATGTAGATACAGTTTTATTAAAGTATGACGCAAAAGACCATGTTATTTGTAAAATAACAGACCGTTCATGTGTCTAAAAAATACCATGACCGAAAAAAATATTTCGATAACAAAAAACCATCTGGGTTAGCGTTGTATAAAATAATTGTCCAATATTCCTAATATTTCAGATATTTTTCGAACCAAATAAATCAAAATATTAAACCTATTATTTTACAGAGCCTCAAGACGGAAAAACAAAATAACAAAAAAACCAGTACAGTGGGGTCGGGGCATAGTGGGGACGGAGCATAGTTGGGTCGGGGCATAGTGGTGACGGGGAGGTCACAGGTTTACAGGAATTTTTAAATCTGAAAGTGATAAAATGTCTTTCGAAAAAACGCTTGGATGCAAATCGGTAGTAAGTATTTTCAAGCCAGTACAGTCCAAACCAAGCACAGTATAAACCAGCAAAGTTAGAAAGTTTTAAATTAAGGTTCTGTATTTACAAATGAGCATCAAAGGCGTTTATTTGAAAGTGACTTTATTCAATTTTATCACTTTTATTTATAATAATCCCTGTAGACCTGTGACCTCTCCGTTTCCGCATTGCTTTGCAGAGCGCAGAGGACAACTTGTTGCGTCGGCTACTGATGACGAACTGTGATAAAGTAAACTATACGATGGGTGCTGAGTACGATGACTACAGTAAACATACAGCGTTTTTATCCAACGGTCAAACCGCACCAATTAAGTCATGGAAGAATAAATCAAAAATCACGTGGGTTCGGGTTCAAACCCCCCCCCAGAGCCAGGAAAAAAATTGTGAAAAAGTGATATATTATAGGTTGTATTGTAAATTGTTACAATGTTACTTTTATGAAGGAATTTAGAACTACAAATAAACAAATATAATAAATAATAATTTGATAATATTTTAATTATTAAGTGTTTTGTACAATTATGACTTTTGTCTACCAAATGCTCAAACGCATACATATACTGTAATCTATTAAAAAAAATGTACATATAACTAATAACACAATAATAACTATTGTTATTATTAATTTTTATTAATTAATATATTTTTAGGGTTGGGCAAAATAGTTATCAAAATGCATTTCAAAAGCAAAATTGCAACTCAAAACAAGTAGTAAAAACGTGTAAAGAAAATCCGAAATTTCATTGGTGTAAAGAAAATGTAAATAAACGTTTTTTCAAAGTGTTTTATAAAACTTTTTTACTCTGTGTTTAAAATAGTCAAAATAATCACAAAAGGAATAAGTAAAATTTGAAATTATTTTTTCAAAGTATTTAATTTGGAATTTAAAATTTTATTAAAGATAAAAATATGAAATGCGGCCATCTAAGCAAGAGTTAAAATTTCTTCGGAACAATAAGTCCAGAAATTTTGTTTTTTCTTAAAATCGAACTATCGAGTTATTTTTCGGAAAAATATTCCAACAAGTCACTTAAATGGTTGAAAAAAAATTGTTTATCATTTTTTAACATCTGTATGGGTAGTATTATTTTTTTATAAGCCCCCCCCCCCCACTCAAAGCAAGACTGAATGTACTCCAATGATTATACCACCAGCGTTATACTATTTTTAAAAAAGTTCTTTCTTAATTATTTAATTACTCGTTAACTGGGTGGAAAAAAGGGCCATAGTAGAGCACAGGCAATGTCGTTGCCTATAGTATGTCAAAATTTGGTATCTCAGTTTTAATTACAGCGTTTGTAAAATTAGGCTTCACTAAATGGGTTTTTTGATCAAAATAACTACCGTGAGACGTTTTCTTAATACAAGATAAGAAGGACTGATCTATATGCTTTGTTGACAACGGGGTGACAATGAAAATTGGCATTAAATCTTCAATAGATAATAATATACCTTTATTTTGGCCAAACAAAGTAAATCCAATTGGCGGGAAATATGCCGTGTATTTTGTTCAACTGTACGTGACAAATTAAAATATAAACAACGATTTTTAACATACAGTTTATTATAAAAAAATAAACAATAAAGCTCCAATCAAACAAAACAAATATATTATAATTTACAAACCATCAATATTTTTGTTTTAATGATAATTTTTCACGTCTGTCATGAACATATTGATCAATTTGATTTGTTTTCTCTTTGAATAATATCTAGTTCTTAGTTTTGATTTTGTGAACCGGTATATATATTTACGTGCACTGTTTTGCAGTTGACGTAAATTTATCGGATGCTTTGAATCTATTTCACGAATAAAGTTCCTGGTAAAAATAAGCTGTCCAATAAACTCTGAGTCAAGTTGTACTTTCGAAACTGTATACAAAAAATATTTCAAGTTTAGTCTCGTCATTGTATAAAACTAATAAAATATTAGTTAGGTAACATATTGTAATATATGTTGGCGTAAATCGAAAAACAACCATTGGCACGAAACTGACTTGGTACCCTGTGCTTTTTATATCTTATTTTTATTGTACTAAGAAACTTTTTAAGGGGCGTTCTGTTTAAAATTCGAAAATCAACTTATTAAGGTCCATCCTAATATACTTAAGGAGATTAGGATAGGATGCGGCTTGTTTTTAAGTAATTGTAAATAAGCAATATTTACAGGAAAAAAGAGGTTTTAATAAATTTCGACCATGTAAACTAATTTATCCGTAAATTTGTATAAGCTACTAGGTATTATTTTTAATTTAAAACATTGTTTCTATGAGTAAAAGCAATTTTGATTTATTTAAAAATATTTTCAAAAAGCAACACTACAAAATTGCAATTATTTCAAAAGTAAATAGTTGGTAAATGATAAAATTGACAAACGTTTGACTACAAATGTGTTTTTCAATAGGTGCATTTTTCTAAATTTAAATTTCTTTTGATATACTGTAAATCTACATTTTGTGATAATTTCAGACTTTAATTTCTACTATACCGAGAAAGTACATTTTTTAGAGTTGTATGCCCTCTTGGTTAGTTTTTTCTAATTACAACTGAGAATTAAAAAAATATAAAATTCTAAGAAAACCCAATAAAAAAACAGTAGACTGTACATGTATTGAAAATGGATAATTAAAATACCCTTGTTTTCGCTTATCTTATTAGAGAAAAATACTTTTTTACTACTCACAGCATCTTAAAGCTGTCTCATCTTTTACATCATTTAGTGCTTTTAAAAAATCTGGACCATTTATCAATTCTAATACATCTTTGGGTAATGCATTTCGATTTAAGTTAGACAAAAGCTGAAACAACGACATATTAGTATTATTATTATTACTTGTACCATAGAGTTCTTGTCTACTGTCGTCAAATACCCAATGTAATAATGTACACTAGTTTTGCAGTTTCAGTTAGGATAGGTCAAAGCAAATGTATTAGGTAATTAAGAAGCCTCCGGAAATTATCAGTGCTTGACCTATTGATGTATAAACTAGTTTTTATATATTTACATTTTTTAAAAATTTTCTTATAGATAGGGGCAAGATAGTTCCCTGATTATTCCCTGATGGTTCTGATGTCCCTGATGTCTCACCACTGCTTGGTAAGACCACCTGAAAGACATACACTATTATTAGTAATTACATACTTTATCAGCAGTGGTATTATGGTATAATGAAAATATATTTATGATTGTTGATTGAGTCGCTATTTTAAATCATATTATAATAATATAGCCTATATAAAAAGTAAAATACTATTTATATTCTTAAAAATATTGTGAAATTATGTTTATTTCTATTAAAAAAAAAAAAAAAACATTATTAGTTGTAAAAATTTTAAAAATCTTATAAAATTATTATAGAGATTAAACTACTAAGGTTACTACTAAAAAAAATAAAAAACTTATATAAACTATATAATTTTCTATTCCAAAAATGTACGAAAAAAATAATACTTGTTAGTGGTTAGGTAAATGAATATTTAAAAGAAAGGATTAATAATTAATTAGAAAAAATTTAGTCCAACATCTTTATTTACTTAGGTACAATAAGACCGAACAAATACACAGCAAATAGCGCAACACTCATGTTGGATTTCGACTGTCGTCAAATACCCAATGTATTAATGTACAGTTGTTTTGCAGTTTCAGTTAGGATAGGTCAAAGCAAATGTATTAATAAATTATAGAGGATTCGGAAATCATCAGTGCATAACCTATTTAAGTAAGAACTAGTTTTTATATATTTACATTCACTAAATAGTTTCTTATAAGTGTGGGCAAGATGGTTCCCTGATTTTCCCCTGATGGTTCTGATGTCCCTGATGGTTCTGATGTCCCTGATGGTTCTGATGCCCCTGATGGTTCTGATGTCCCCGATGGTTCTGATGTCCCTGATGTCTCACCACCGCTTGGTACCATAGGCGAACTATACAAAAAAACCTAAAAGACATACATTAGTATAAGTCATAACAAACTTCACTAGCAGTGGTATTATAGATATCGCAAAAGAGCAGGAGCAGCATATGCAGTTGTTCAACACAACTACATCTAAATCTATTGATACAGTCAACGAATAGTATGTAGGTAAGGTTAGGTTAATACTAATATTAGTACAAGTACTCAATATTATATGATGGTAGTCAAAAAGTCTTTTAGAAGTCATCCACACATGACGAACAACTAAATGAAAACTTGAACAATAAAAAAATTACAACAAGCAAATAATTATCACAGATATAAATTTATCACATTCGTTTCAGGACCATTTTCATGTCTCGTTGAAGTACCGAATACATTTAGAGTAGTGGTGGAATTATAAATGTAGTATATTAAGAAGCAGTAACAAGCCAGTATATTAAAACATCAAGTTTCTGGCTAATATTTTAGTTTTTAATATCTGGCTTAAAACAATTCATAAAGAATTTGGGCCCTTAAACTATTTCAAATTTATTATTTAGTTCTAATTTGAACGTTGAACGTACAACTTATCTATTATCTTATATCTCCTATATATTACCCCTATCCCCTACCCACTATATCTTACCCTTATTTTTTACCCTTATACCTACCCTCTATTTCCTACCCTTGGGATATGATAGGGTATTTATTGAATGGGGTTGGGGTGGGAGGTGGAATTGGGTTGAAGGTGGAATGGGATTAAGCTGCTTCTGGTAAGAAATAATGTTGAATATGTAGAAATATATGTTGAATAATGTAGAATGTTGTACGTTCAACGTTCAAATTAGAACTAAATAATAAATTCAAAATAGTTTAAGGGCCCAAATTCTCTATGAATGGTTTCAAGCCAGATATTAAACGCTACAATATTAGCCAGAAACTTGATGTTTTAATATACTAGCCACCTTAGATACTAGCTTTTTACTGCTTCTTAATATTCTATATCATTATCTATAATTCCACAACTACCCTAAATTTATTCAGTACTTCAACGAGGCATGAAAATGCACTTTCGTAGTTGGAGAATCGGCTGAAAAACTTTTTTGATAACATTTTAAAACAGTCCGTAAAAATTGTTTAACAGCAAATATTTTAAAAATATTATTTACAATTTAAATTTAGTCCAAAATCTATATTTACTTACAATAAGGCCGAACAAATACACTACACTCATGTTGGATTTCATCTTAAATACCTAAAACAATAAAAAACACATAATTTGTTATAAATAATAACCTTGGTATACGACACAAAGTGTTCAAAAGTGGTTAGCGCTCTAAAAAATAACAAAAAAAAGTTTAAAATTTGGATACTTTATAAGAAGTTAAATATGGTATAGTTTAAATGTAAACATTAATTATTTTTTGAGAAAAAAAGCATAAAAATATGTTCAGTTTTAATGGTTTTTGTTGGCAATAAGAAAAACCATTTTAAAATTTAAAGAAAAACTTGTCCTACGATACCATTGTCTTACGAAAAGCATTTTCAAATATCGCTTACTTTTTTTAATGCTTGACAAACTTAACGCAAAGAACATAAAAACACACTAATGCTGTTAGTGGTGCTCGGGATGCCGTTTGTTGGTTATATTTGCGACTCTTCGCATACGCCATAGTTTTGTGTTTACTTAAGACAAAATATGCTTTATTCAAGATGTTATTACGACGATAACATACTTTTAGACCAATTCGACTCAATTGTTCACGCCCTACTTTCCGCCACTTTGTCCGGTCGGTGTACTGCGGTACTTACAAGAATGTGACACACCTAAAGTTATATGAAGGGTACAGCGATGGTGATGACTAATAAAAAAAAAAAATTGTAAGTTATTTTTATGAAACCACTTTAGTTTTAGTTTATAAGTCTGGCAACATAATTCAGCTTCAATTTTTAAATTTAATAAGTGGACATGCAATCTCTTTTATGATAATTTTTATTTTTTTATTTTTTTTTTATTGATCTTTAAATTACATCGGCATCTTAGGCCAATAGTAAACAGTTATTTACAGATGAAACATGTTTTTGATTAAATTAAATTATATAATTGAGACATTTTTAGAAAGGCAATTAAATTTGAGATATCTTGAACGCTGGGACCCAAAGCTTGACTGATTTGTTCCGAGATGTTGAATTGACTGCGGTGGTCCTTGTATTTTTGGCATTCCGTAAGTATGTGGTTAATCGTTAGAAGAACACCACATGTGCCACACATTGGTGGTTCCTCCCTGGTCATTAAATAGCCGTGTGTAAGATGTGTGTGGCCTATTCGTAAACGGTTGATAACTGTTTCTTCTTTCCTGCTGAGTCCTGGATTTTTCCATAGTAGAATATTGTTTTTTATTTTATTTAGTTTTGTATTCATATTTTGCCAATGGGAGTTCCATCTGTTAATTATGTGAGCATTTATTATGGTTTTTAGATCTGAGTGCGTGTATATATCCAGAAAATGAGCTGTCATTGAAGAAGATGCTTTTAGCGCTTCCTGGTCCGCTCTTTCATTTCCCGGTATACCGATATGTCCTGGAGTCCATATGAAATGAATTTGCTTTCCCTTCTTCAAAACCCTATAAGTTGCTTCTTGAATAAGTTTGGTAATGTCAGTTGGAGTTTCTGTATTTTTTATAGCATTGAGACTACTAAGTGAATCGCTTAGAATTACGAAATTAGTTTGTGTGTTACCGTTGTTATTGTGAATATGTTCAACAGCTTTATATACAGCCATCGACTCAGCAGTAAATATTGATCAATGGGGTGGGAGTTTGTATTCCACTGGATGATTTTGAATTAAATATGCTATTCCGACTCCATTTGTGTTTTTTGACCCGTCTGTATAAAGAAGTTCACTGTTTGTATACTCTTGCAGGATCTCTTTGAGCAGGTTTTTGTATATGGTTGGATTTGTGTTTTCTTTTTTGAA